GGAATGAGAGCAAAGTTTCTTCTCTGATGAAGGAGCACAAAATAATTTGATTTAATTTAAATAATCATAAATACAGATGGTAACCAATGCAAAAAGTACAAAGGGCTGAATTAATCTTAATCTGAATTAACCTTAATCTCCTCCACTTCTTCTCACCATCACAAAATTCAGCCTTCTTAAGGCAGCCAATATTCCAAATTTCTTCTATAAATTTCCAGAAACATTCTGAAAGCAGCATGTTTTATATGAGCGTACCATAGGCCTGTGGAAAAATTTTCAAAAGTTACTGTAGTGTGAATGTAGGCTCTCCCAGGCTGTCTCTGAACATCATGTTGTGACAGGTTTTTCTAACAGAGACGGGCCGGGTACCACCTGCCATGCATGATGTAGGTGTGTGTGGTTTACAACCTCTTGTGGGGACCGGTGTCAAGATTGGGTCTGATGCATAGAGCTTTAATGTCGTTTTACTAACAATAACTTCAAGATTTATTGGCCAGTATTGTCTCCTTGCACCCAGGAGAATGATAGGCATGAGGGAAACGTTTATACCTAGAATCTTGCAGAGATCAAGACAGTGAAAGATAGTTGCTTTGATTTATAAGTCTCTGGGGTCACATACATTTATTTATATCCTTTCACTTTATTTAAACCTTTATGACCTTGGCCAAGTTTCTGAAGGTCTCTGTATCTCAACTTTCTTTCTTTTTTTTTTTTTTTGTCTTTTTCTTGACCGGTAAGGGGATCGCAACCCTTGGTGTGGTGTNGCGGGAGCGTTGCTGCGCTCCCAGCGCTGCACTCTCCCGAGTGTGCCATGGGGCCGGCCCTCAACTTTCTCCTGGATAAAATGGAAATAGTAACAGCACTCACTTCATAGGGCTATCTTGAGAGATAAATGAGGTAATCCCAGAAAGGTAATCACATAATGTCTGATAGGTGGTCATGCTCAATGAAAATGATAATATTATTGTCATAAAAATAGCAATAATAAGATAGGACAATCAGCAGTATCTAAATCTTATTATCCGAGACCATTATCATGTGTTTTCTTGTAGATTTACAGATTGCTTTAAAATATGTTTCCATTACAGCTCTGTGTGTGAAACCAGACATAGTACATGGAAAACTGTCTGTGGATAAGAGAGAATATGTTGAATCTGAACGCATCACCATCCATTGTGACTCTGGCTATGGTGTGCTTGGTCCCCAAAGTATCAGATGCTCAGAGAACAGAACCTGGTACCCAGAGGTGCCCAAGTGTGAGTGGGTAAGTGTCATAATTCAAGGAAGTTCTGTGTTGTCAACCCCTAAACCTGGTGGCCTCCCCCAAACTCTGTCCCAGCCAGCAATGGTGACATCTGACTTGTCAGGATTCATTT